ATTTCTGTATATGTTTGTATGTCAAAAATTGGCATTGTATGTTTGCCATATATGTGTACACTGTAATCCGCCCTGAGTCCCCTGCGGGGTGAGAAGGGCGGAATATAAAAGCTCTAAATAAATAAATAAATAAATAAATAAAAATAAATAAATTCAGTACTTTTTGCCAAAGAAGGCTAAAGACCTTGTAAAACTACAGGTCTTGTGATTGCATAGTACTGAGCCATGACATTTTACAATTGTGCCAAACTGCATTAATTATACAGCGCAGATGCCACAAAGGACAAGCCTTGAGAGTGAAATGCAATTGGCCAGCCTCATGTGTTTGGAAGTGGAAAATAATTTAACAAAAAAATTAATGTGCCTTTAACAAAACTACTTCCCTGACTGTGGCAATTTTTAACTAAATTATAGAACTTTTCTGTTGCCTTCTGAAATTAGCAGCTCAAGTGTTATCACAGAAGATAAGAGGAACAGCATATCTTCCCACCACTGCCTCTAAGTGTTGGTTGAGAGATAACCAAGATTTAATTATCTTCACTTAGAGTGGTAAAATGTCCTGATTCACACACACTTCGGCAGTATTAAACAAGAACACACACACACAGCCAATGAACGCACATTTAATTAAATCTTTAACATGGTTCCCCCTCAAATACTTCATATCTATTTTTAATATTAACAACAACCTTGTAAGACATATCAGTAGATGGAGGAGAAGAATGAGACTGAGAACGCCCACCCCCAAACCCTGTGATCCAAACCCCTAACCTCAAATTTGAGGCCCCAAATGCATCCTCAAAGCCAAGGGCCCATGAAGATTTGTGGATATAAGCCCACTTCTCTATACAGCATGGCACAAGCATATTTATACAGTTGTGAGAGTGGGATAGAATGTGAAAAATCAAGAAAGATCCAAGTCATGTCCAATTCCCTAAATTTTCAAAGGGCCAGGTGAGGTTACACAGGTCTTTCAGATCTTTATAGCAGTCAGTGAATGTCGATGTATGAAGGGAGTAAATCTGCTTATCAAAAGCTAGTTTCCCAAGGTTCAAAAATCTGAGAAGATAGAATCATAGAATCATAGAATCAAAGAGTTGGAAGAAACCTCATGGGCCATCCAGTCCAACCCCCTGCCAAGAAGCAGGAATATTGCATTCAAATCACCCCTGACAGATGGCCATCCAGCCTCTGTTTAAAAGCTTCCAAAGAAGGAGCCTCCACCACACTCCGGGACAGAGAGTTCCACTGCTGAACTGCTCTCACAGTCAGGAAGTTCTTCCTCATGTTCAGATGGAATCTCCTCTCTTGTAGTTTGAAGCCATTGTTCCGTGTCCTAGTCTCCAGGGAAGCAGAAAACAAGCTTGCTCCCTCCTCCCTGTGGCTTCCTCTCACATATTTATACATGGCTATCATATCTCCTCTCAGCCTTCTCTTCTTCAGGCTAAACATGCCCAGCTCCTTAAGCCGCTCCTCATAGGGCTTGTTGTCCAGACCCTTGATCATTTTAGTCGCCCTCCTCTGGACACATTACAGCTTGTCAATATCTCTCTTGAATTGTGGTGCCCAGAATTGGACACAATATTCCAGGTGTGGTCTAACCAAAGCAGAATAGAGGGTAGCATTACTTCCCTAGATCTAGACACTATGCTCCTATTGATGCAGGCCAAAATCCCATTGGCTTTTTTGCCACATCACATTGTTGGCTCATGTTTAACTTGTTGTCCACGAGGACTCCAAGATCTTTTTCACACGTACTGCTCTTGAGCCAGGCATTGTCCCCCATTCTGTATCTTTGCATTTCATTTTTTCTGCCAAAGTGGAGTATCTTGCATTTGTCACTGTTGAATTTCATTTTGTTAGTTTTGGCCCATTCTCCTTTTATTATTCCTTTTATTATATTTACTCTTGTATTAATATAAGCAGTACACCATGAAGCCACTTGTCTTTGTTTCTACCTTTTTTAACGGACTGGAATTTGTGAATAAAATTTATTTTAATGTATTGTCAAAGGCTTTCATGGCCGGAATCACTGGGTTGTTGTAGGTTTTTTCAGGCTATATGGCCATGTTCTAGAGAACTTGGCCATATAGCCCGAAAAAACTTACAACAACCCAGTAAAATTAAGTTGTTTCTCGTTTTTTTGGAATTTCCTTGTTCAAGGACTGCAACCTATAAATCACTTACTGTATGTCCAGGAAGATTTAAATATTTAGAAACTGGTTTGGGGGTGTTGCTATTTTTAATGTCAGATTTCTGTCTTCTTTGCCCAGTGCAGAGGGCCATTACTGGCATAGGCTGTTATACACTACATTAGAAGAAGGACAAGTAAATGTACTTCTGATGTTGTGACGTTATTGGCCCTGTAATTAATCCTGTAATAGGATTAATTGCAACGGTTCCTGCCAAATCGGGACAGCTGGGAGTGCATATCCTCCCAGCTAAATGGGAGACCTTCTTTGGGAGTGTACGGAATTAATTTCAGATAGCCCTTGGTTAACAGTGTGTGAGTTCCTTGCTATAACTTCTATAACCAAAGTGTCAGTACCAGAGGGAGAAATAACATGGAAAGCATAGAGATAGGTTTCTACAACTCCAAAAAGAATGCTTCAACATCTTTCAGCAAACTTTTATTCAAAATTAATAATGTGGAATATATGTGAAATGAAACTAACCAGGTCAGGTAAACCTTACACAAGTAAATAAAAACACTTTGATCCTGTGCAGTGGTTCTTAACCTGGGGTCCCCAGATGTTTTGGCCTTCAACTCCCAGAAATCCTAACAGCTGGTAAACTGGCTGGGATTTCTGGAAGTTATAGGCCAAAACACCTGGGGACCCACAGGTTGAGAACCACTGTGCTAGAAGTCACTTGAAGGATTCTTCCAAAACACATCTGGGGATGGGTTTACTTCCCCTCATTGGCCTTTACTTAGGATTTCCTTTTGAGTGATTTAACATAACTTCCTAAGATCTACAGATATATTTATTTATTTATTTATTTGGTGCATTTGTTGACCGCCGCTCTCAGCCCTGGGGCGACTCGCGGCGGTGTACAACATATAAAAACCATTTACAATAGAACACAAACAGAGAATCAACATATCAAAATACACAATCTAAATTACACTAAATAATCCGCTCCGTTCCATCATCGAATCGTAACCAATCTCGTAATCCATTTCGTTCCGGTTGTCATTACCAATTAGTATAGCACTCAGTTAAATGCCTTCTCGAATAGCCAGGTCTTTAAGCTCTTACGGAAGGACATAAGGGAGGGCGCCTGTCTGATGTCAACAGGGAGAGTGTTCCACAGCCGGGGGGCCACCACCGAGAAAGCCCTCTCTCTCGTCCCCGCCAGACGTGCCTGTGAGGCAGGCGGGATCGAGAGAAGGGCCTCCCCAGACGATCTCAAGGCCCTCGTGGGCTCATAGGCCGAGATGCGGTCCAAAAGGTATTTTGGGCCGGAACCGTTTAGGGCTTTGTAGGATAACACCAGCACCTTAAATTGGGCCCGGTAGCAGATCGGCAGCCAGTGGAGCTGGGACAACAAGGGCGTTGTGTGCTCCCTGCGTCCCGCTCCCGTTAGTAACATGGCTGCCGCGCGCTGGACTAGCTGAAGCTTCCGGGCCGTCTTCAAGGGCAGCCCCACGTAGAGAGCGTTGCAGTAGTCAAGGCAGGATGTGACCAGAGCGTGTACCACCGTGGCCAAGTCAGACTTCCCAAGGTACGGGCGCAGCTGGCGCACGAGCCTAAGCTGTGCAAATGCTCCCCTGGTCACCCCTGAAACCTGGGGATCCAGGCTCAAAGATGAATCCAGGGTCACACCCAAGCTGCGAACCTGTGCCTTCAAGGGGAGTGCGACCCCGTCCAGCACAGGCTGTAACCCTATACCCTGTTCGGCCTTGCGACTGACCAGGAGTACCTCTGTCTTGTCTGGATTTAATTTCAGTTTGTTCGCCCTCATCCAGACCATTACAGCGGCCAGGCACCGGTTCAGGACCTCGACAGCCTCCTTAGTAGCAGGTGGAAAGGAGTGACAGAGTTGGACATCATCTGCGTACAGATGACACCGCACCCCGAAACTCCGGATGATCTCACCCAGATATACTAGCAGGAACCCCCCAGAGAATCTAAAAGTGCCAGGCTAAAACCCAGAACCTCAATCAGTGGCTGAGACCAGATGAGAGACTCCCTCCTGGGCACACAAAAGGCTGGGCGACTTGGAAGGCACCAAACAGACTGCACTCTGGCACCTCGAGATGCAGAGCCAGTCTTAAGAAATTAGGCTACAAAGTGGAGTCCCCAACAGGTGAGTGTGGAGAAGAGCAAACCACAGAGCACCTACTGCAATGTAGTCTGGCCCTGTCACATGCAGGGCCCCTCCAGAAGATCTTAGCAGCCATGATGGTTCATGGTGGAAATATGTTTGGACAGGTAAACTAGGCCGGAACTGTATAGAATCATGGAGTTGGAAGAGACCTTGTGGGCCATCCAGTCCAACCCCCTACCAAGCAGCAGGAAAATTGCATTCAAAGCACCCCCAAGAAATAGCCGTCCAGCCTGTTTAAAAGCCTCCAAAGAAGGAGCGTCCACCACACTCTGGGGCAGAGAGTTCCACTGCTGAACAGCTCTCACAGGTAGGAAGTTCTTCCTCATGTTAAGGTGGAATCTCCTTTCCTTTGGTAGTGAATAAGACTAAAGGTCTTGTAAAACAAAAACCCCTAGGACTCCATGGCACTTAATGGGTGTCAAACGGTCTCCATTCAACAGTGGAGATGCCTCTTGCAGCACAGGCAGGGATTGCTGTGCTGGTGCCTGACTCAGCCACAGTACTCTCCAAACTCAAGTCTTGCAGGTGATTTTGGACTTCATCTCCCAGAATCCCAAGGCAGCCGAGGCTTCTGGGAGCTGAAGTCCAAAACACCTGAAGGACTACAGTTTAGGGATCATTACTTTCTCAGTTGGAAAACCTTTGGTTGGAAAGAGGGGAAAGAGAGGAAGGCACCCAAGGCGGGGATCAGCTGTTGCGCCCCGGAGCGCACGGTGCGCCCTTGGCGAGGAGGGCACTTTCCCCAGTCTCCTCCTCCTCTCCTCCTTTTCCTCCCTCCTTCTTCCCGGCTGGGCTCTGCAGTCACTTCCTGCAGCTGTTTCCATCTGTGTCCGGTGATGCCGAGCCGCCTCCCCCATCTCTCCAACCCGAGGAGCACAGAAAGCAGCCGGCTTTTAAGTTCAACTGGGAAGAAGATGGAGAGCTGAAGCGCACTGTCTCCAAACTTGGCGCATCCACCGTCGAGAACAAACCTCCCTTCCTCTTCTTCCTCCTCCTTCTCCTCCTCCCTCTCTCTTCCTCTTGGGAAGCCGGTAGGTCCATGATGTCCTCGTTGCTATGGGCATCCCATAATAGGCTGACTGACTAAGGCACCAAGAAAGACTGCAGCTCCCTTAGAGAAAAGCGAGGCTGGGTTTCCCAGTCAGCATAGGATTGGGTTGCAACCCTTTAGGTGCTTTATGTAAGTTCTGCTGAGATGCTTCATGGCATTGTCTCTTCTCCCTTTTTAAAAAAGAGACTTGTTTTCTCTGTGATGCGTGTTGTGTGCATGATCAGTGGTTATTTTGTGTGTGTGTGACTCCAGCAATCTGTCTCCAGCAAGATGGGAAGCTGTCAGAAAGGACATGATGACTGTAAGCATCCCTCTCCTGGCCTGAGGATAAGGAGGTTCCCTTTTGGAACTGTCATAACTAGTATCTATCTGATCCTTTATTCCAGCATTTCTCAATCAGGGGGTTGGGATCCCTGGGGGAGGGGTCGCGAGGGGTTGTCAGAGGGGTCTCCACCAGACCACCAAAAAACAATGTATTTTCTATTTATTTTATTTACATTATTTCTATTCCGTCCATATCAGCTCGAAGGCGACTCAGGGCGGTATACACAGTCGGCACAATTCAATGCCATAAAAATACATACATTGATAACGCAAAAACATTAAGTGCAATTAAGCATAAAAGACAGTGCATAATAACAATTTAAAAAGATCTATGTCCTATTGGTCATGGGGGTTCAGTGTGGGAAGTTTGGCCCAATTCTATCATTGGTGGGGTTCAGAATGCTCTTTGATTGTAGGTGAACTGTAAATCCCAGCAACTACAACTCCCAAATGTCAAGGTTTATTTTCCCCAAACTCCACCAGTGTTCATATTTGGGCATATTGAGTATTCATGCCAAGTTTGGTCCAGATCCATCATTGTTTGAGTCCACAGTGCTCTCTGCATGGAGGTGAACTACAACTTCAAAACTCAAGTTCAATGTCCATCAAACCCTTCCAGTATTTTCTCTGGGTCATGGGGGTTCTGTGTGGGAAGTTTGGCTTAATTCTATCATTGGTGAGGTTCAGAATGCTCTTTGAATGTAGCTGAACTATAAATTCCAGTAACTACAACTCCCAAATGACAAAATCAACCCCACAACCCCATCAGTATTCAAATTTTGGCATATTAGGGATCTGTGCCAAATTTACTCCAGTGAATAAAAATACATCCTGCATATCAGATATTTGCATTACAATTCATAACAGTAGCAATATTACAGTTGCGAAATAGCAATGAAAACAATGTTATGGTTGGGGGTCACCACAACATGAGGAACTGTATTAAGGGGTCACGGCATTAGGAAGGTTGAGAACCAATGCTTTAAATGGACAAGCTAGGTAAATGCTCTTTGATTGCAGGCTGACTATAAATTTCATCAGCTACAACTCCCAAATGATAAAATCAACCCCTCCTCAACCCCACCAGTATTCAAATTTGAGTGTATCGGGTATTTGTGCCAATTTTGGTCCAGTGAATGAAAATACACCCTGCATATCAGATATTTACATTATGATTCATAACAGTAGCAAAATTACAGTTATGAAGTAGCAACAAACAATGTTATGGTTGGGGGTCACCATAACATGAGGAACTGTCTTAAGGGGTTGCGGCATTAGGAAGGCTGAGAACCACTGCTCTACTCATTTAGTTAACCCTTCACTTTAGAGAGCAGTGGTCCACACATTAATGTAGGCTGAGTATTATATATCTGAAATGCTTGGGACCAGAAGCATTTTGGATTTCAGACTTATTTTACTTTATTTTATTTTGAAATTCCTACCTTTGTATATACAGTAAACTCTCAGTTAACCAGAACTCTCCAGCAATGGACAAAAATAATAAATAATATTTTTATAATATAGCAACATCATTTTATAATGCAGTTAAACCCTGGTGGAGTAGCAAGTTAAACCACTGAGCTGCTGAACTGCTGTCCAAAAGGTCAGCAGTTTGAATCTGGGGAGCGGGGTAAGCTCCTGCTGTTAGCCCCACTTTCTACCAACCTAGCAGTTTGAAAACATGTAAATGTGAGTAGATCAATAGGTACCGCTCTGGTGGGAAGGTAGCAGCACTCCATGCAGTCATGCCGACCACGTGACCTTGGAGGTGTCTATGGACAATGCCGGCTTTTTGACATAGAAATGGAGATGAGCACCATCCCCAGAGTCGGACACGACTAGACTTAATGTCAAGGGGAAACCTTTACCTATAACTTAAACTTATTTACATTAGGGCTGTCTTTATTTACTTTTAATTACTATATTGCTATCAAGTCAACACAGAGTTTATGGTATAGTATAATATGGAGTATAGTGTTAGGCCTATTTTTAATAGTAACTCTCATGCCACTAGAAACTACATTTATCTGGCATCTACCATTCCCCTGCTGTGGATGTTCATAATGGGATATCTTGGAGATGAGACCCAAGTCTAAACACATCATTTGTTATGCTGCATATGCACCTGACACACAGAGCCTGAAGGCAATTGTAAATAATGTTATGCATGAGACAAAAGTCTGTGTGCATCAAACCATCCAAAAGCAAATGTGTCCCTCTGTGAGCCACTCACACATGACTGATTTGGAGGTATTTTGGATTTTTGGGTAAGGGATGCTCAGCTTGTCCAGCACTCTGTCTTCAGTAAGATGACAAGCAGTCAAGGAGGACATGATATCTGGAAGCATCCCTACCTCTCAGGATAAGGAGGTTCCTTTTTGAATGAACATAGCCATAGGTGGGCCTGGTTTTACCCTTCCTATTTTTTCTGACCATTTATTCATTTGCTAAGTGAGCCATTATCTCTTCTGTTGAGAGGGCATGTATTCCATGCATTAATAATACATGCATATAATTTACAGCCCCGTGCCTTCCAAATATTACATTCCTTGCATATTAAAACTATGGCTAAACCAGTGCTAAGCGACCAAAATGGATTTAAAACTATTGAAGGAATAGGTCGTGAGGTAAAGGTTTTCCCCTGATATTAAGTCCAGTTGTGTCAGACTCTGGGGGTTGGTGCTCATCTCCATTTCTAAGTTGAAGAGTCGGCGTTGTCCGTAGACACCTCCAAGGTCATGTGGCTGGCATGACTGTATGGAGCGCCATTACCTTCCTGCTGGAGTGGTACCTATTGATCTACTTACATTTGCATGTTTTCGAATTGCTAGGTTGGCAGAAGCTGGATTTAACAGCAGGTTAACAGTGTCCTCACTACCTCTGAGGATGCTTGCCATAGATGCAGGCGAAACGTCAGGAGAAAATGCCTCTAGAACATGGCCATATAGCCTGGAAAAACCTACAACAACCCAGTGATTCCGGCCATGAAAGCCTTCGACAATATGTTTTAGTCTTTATTTCAACTCTTGATGATTGAGTATAGTTCTCTAGCTATACTCTAATTTTGTATGTTTACAGTTTATGGGTATATTACAGAGTATCCCTGATCTTGGTTTTGTAAAGACCATGGAACTTCTGTTATCATCTGATTCCAATTATGTTTGGTTTCTATATTGGTTATCAAGTGTTATCCATGTACACAATTACCTTGGATTACTCTTATATATCTGTACAGTCATTAATATAATTAAGACAGATTTTGCTTTATAATCTGTTTTACTTTTGCTGCATCACCCCATATTCTTAACAGCTCCTCCTTTCTATTTAGATTGCCATTTCCAGAATAAGACACTATTAATTACTTGACTGAAACTTTCCCATTTCATTCCACTTTTGTTCACACAGAATTTTGTCTAAAAGCATTGTCGCTTCTATTTTCTCCCTTTCTGTGTGTATATTAAGATATATTCTTGCAGTTTCTAACAACCAAAACCCCCAAGAAATCCATAAGACATCTGTCATGATGCTGTACATGATTGATTGATGGTTTGTGTTCAGAACAATCTGGAGCATGTTCAGAGGAAAATGACCAAAATAATGAAAGCCCTGCGAGAAATGGCTAAAAGAGCTAGATATGTTTAGCCCAGAAAAGATTGAGAGGTAATCTGATAGCTGCCTTTAAGTATTTGAAGAAATGTCATGTGGATGAGAACATGGAGAACCTTGTTTTCTTCTGCTCTTGAGACCAGAGATATGAACCAGTGGATCCAAATTAGAAGAAAAGAGATTAAACGACAAAAGGACAGACTTTCTAACTGTTTGACAGTAAAATAGACCAAACAGGGTGGTGGATTTTCATCCTTTGGAGACTGTCACACATATTGAATGATCATTTCTCAGGAGGCCTTTAATTGATAGATCTGCATGGCAAGGGGTTGTTCTAGATGACCCTTGCAATTTCTTCTAACTTTGCGATCATGCTAGATCTCATGCTAGATCTAGCAAAAAACTATTTAAGCATGACCCTCCTTTTGTAACTAATCAGTCACTATCATCAGCCCTAGATAACATAGTCAGTGGAGAACAAATTTGGGGATATAGTGGTGTCTAGAAGGCTATAGCTTCCTTGTCCAGTCCAGCATCCTTCTGTGCAAGTTGAAACCCAGATGCTAATAAAAAATCGTCAAATAGGAAATGAGCATATTAGCACACAGCTTCTTATACTGGAGTTAATATAACCATCATAACAAATAGTCTTGGGTAGCCATATCATCCATGAATTAACCTTTAGAATTGCTCACAAAGAATATAGTTGACAGGGAGCATAATGTGAACACCCTAAATATGGTACGAATAGAGTCAACAATAAACTCCTGGTTCATAAGCTTCTAGTAAAACATATTGAATAGCTTCATTGTGCTGCTTGAAAAGAACATGGACAAATTGTTACCTAGAAGTTTGGGCATCATAGTCCAAAAGAGTAACCTCTCTTCTGTGAAGTACGCTATGGAAACACCCATTCACCTGATTTTCCTCCCTTCGTTTTTGCCTGGTGCAGGTCAGACGTCATCTCAAGAAGAATGCTAGAAAGTCTCTCAGTCAATGATTCTTCTGCAGCAAGGTGGACCTCCCCTTCCTCTTCCTCCTGAGAAGCTTCCACCTCTTCCTATGTCAGTGGCCACCAGGCCCACAGCCAACTTGGTACTCTCCCCACAGAAACCACATGGACTGGGACCATCCCTGCCACTTACACAAGATGAGGAACTTGCTACAGGGATGGAGCAGGACCCGGTCCTGGAGGAACTGTGTAGGCCTTTGTGTTGCAGGCTCTGTAACGTCACCTTGAATTCTGCACAGCAAGCCCAGGCTCATTACCAGGTAAGCAGGAAGTTCTAAAATGAGGACATTTCCAATTCAGGATCTAAGCATTTCTTCTTCAGACAATGGTAGGTATAAACCTTCCTGGTTGTTTGAAAATCCAGCATGTTTTGTGCATGAAGTTACTCTACTTCAGTTTTTGGGGAGCTCTTCTGCCATGTTATGGTAGCTAAATGGTTAAACTATGGAATAGGAAGCCCCATTTCAGGCTACCATGGACAAAATGTATGGTTTGTTGTAGGTTTTTCCGGGCTATATGGCCATGTTCTGGAGGCAATTTTTCTCCTGACGTTTCGCCTGCATCTATGGCAAGCATCCTCAGAGGGAGTGAGGTCTGTTGGAAGTAGGAAAAATGGGTTTATATATCTGTGGAATGACCAGGGTAATGTTTCAGCTGATCACCTTGATTTGCATTCAATGGCCTGGAAGCGCCTGGGGGGAATCTCTTGTTGAGAGTGAATTGATGTGCCTGATTCTAACAAGAGATTCCCCCCAGGCGCTTCCAGGCCATTGAATGCAAATCAAGGTGATCAGCTGAAACATTACCCTGGTCATTCCACAGATATATAAACCCATTTTTCCTACTTCCAACAGACCTCACTACCTCTGAGGATGCTTGCCATAGATGCAGGCGAAACGTCAGGAGAAAAATTGCCTCCAGAACATGGCCATATAGCCTGGAAAACCTACAACAACACCAGTGATCCCGGCCATGAAAGCCTTCGACAATAAAATGTATGGTGTTTGGTAAGCCATAGGTCCTGCTTTCCTGGTCTGCTAACTGGGCCTCTACTTGGACACACTGAATAAAAGAAAGTTTCCTAAAGATATTAACAATGTAAAAGAGAGATCGCATGAGGCACATGACAGAAATCTATATCGCATCTGTAATAATTTGCAAAATGAAGTCAAGTTTAGTAAACCTCTAAATATTATTGAGGTGCACAGAATGTTTTGAAGCTCGGTATGAAGTTGTAGGGCAATTTTTCCTTGATCTTGGCCATTGCAACCTCCAACTTCTCCAAAAGAAAGATTGGCGGGCCCCCTTTTCTTCTCACTTCATGCCGATTTGCGTTAGGTACCCAATATTGCATCATGCCTGTTACATGAAACACTTGAAATAATGAAATAATGGAGAATGGAGAGTCTCTTCATGTGCGCTGTTGGTGTAATAATTAAGAATGGTAACAACTGGCACAGTAAACACATCTTTTGTCCAGACATTGCTGCCCATGGTTGTTGTTAATGCAAATTCTCTTTCTAGGGGAAAAACCACAGTAAGAAACTGAGGAATTACTATGCTGCCAATAGCTGCCCTGCTCCTACCAGGATGACTAACTCACTTGAACCAGCAACAAATCCGATAATTTCCCTTCCACCCCAGGTAAGTGTGTAGAGAATGACAGCATGGCAGTGTGATGTCTGCTTAGAATGAGCATCCAGATACACATGTAATGGGTTGATGCCTTAATGAGACAATGTGTACACCTTCCCTTGAAAGAAAGGGAACCACATGTTAGCTTATTCTGGATTTTTGTTGTGTTCTGCTGTTTGGTTGTTTTCTCATTGTTTCATTCTGTGTGTGGTGTGTGTGTACTGGCAGTCCTTGAGTTACAAACATCTAACTTAGAAACAACTCATAGTTAAGAACTGGGGTGAGACAACTGGAAGTGAGAGAAATCTACTCCTCGGAAGGGAAATTCACTCCTGAAAGGGGGAAGGGAGTCTCAACTGAAGTTTGATCACCAATCCTTTTTTCCACAGCAAGCCAATTTTTCAAAATCCAATTAACACAAGACAGAGAACGAGGTGAAATATTCTGAACAGGGGCACAGACAGCAAAACAAACACCACAGGGGTGTTAATCTTTCCCCTGGTGGCACAGTAGGTTAAACCGCTGAGCTTCTGAACTTGCTGATCGAAGGATCACTGGTTCGAATCTGGGGACCGGGGTGAGCTCCTGCTGTTAGCCCCAGCTTCTGCCAACCTAGCAAGTTGTAAACATGCAATTGTGAATAGATCAATAGGTACTGCTCCGGTGAGACAGTAACGGCACTCCATGCTGTCATGCTGGCCACATGAACTTGGAGGTGTCTATGGACAATGCCGGCTATTCGGCTTGGAAATGGAGATGAGCACCAACCCCCAGAGTTGGACACGACTGGACTGAATATCAGGGGCAAAACTTTACCTTTTATGCACTTCCTTTTCTCTTTTTTCCTTTAATCTCCGCAGGGATCTGCAGCACATAGATTGCAAACAAGCATTGTCCATAGACCACCACTGAGAAGCACTGGCTTACAGTAAAATAGTAGAATTTAACTATAAATATTTTACAGCACTATCTATCTATCTATCTATCTATCTATCTATCTATCTATCTATCTTTCTATCTATACACACATACACACAAACACACACACATACACACACATCCCTGTGCTAGAATAAATCAAACAATGGTTGAAAACTTGTAAACAAAATATAATGTTCCTTCATTTCTCAACATAGTCCCCAGATTTCTCAAGGCACTTCTGAAAATGTGGTAACAACTTTTGTATGCCTTGAGCATGCCACTCTGCCCTTATACTTATCCAGATATCTACTGCAACCTTGACCTTGTTGTCCGTATGAAAGCTGCGCCCTTCCCTCAAGTGAGTTTTGAGGTTCGGGAAAAGATGAAAGTCACTAGGGGGAGTCGGGAGAGTATGGAGGATGTCCAAAGATTTCCCATCTGAATTTCTACTGGATTTTCTGTGTCTGATATGCAGAGTGGGGGGCCTTGCATTGTCATGCAACAACAGAACCTTTTATGTCAACGTCCTTTTCCTTTTGTTATTTATCGCCATGTGATGTTTCCCCAAGAACTCATAATATATGATTGCATTGATAGTGGTCCCATGTTTGAGGGAGCTGATAATGATAACACTTTGAGCATCTCAGAAAATGGTCATAATCATCAGTTTTCCGGGCAATGCTGTGACCATCACTTTCTTCAGCGCGCTTGCCCTTTTGTTGCCACACCATGCTCTAACATTTGGTTTCCGAAGTGTTATGATAAATCCAAGTTTTGTCACCAGTTGTGATTCTTGAAAACAAGGCACTCCCCCTTGCAGCTTCCATGGGTTGTTGTTTGTGAACATCAGTAAGGAGATGAGGCACCCGTCTTGCACACACTTTTGACATCTACAACTCACCTTTGACAAGAGTTGTGAGTGAACTGCATCAGATTTCTGTATTGAGAGGTTGAAAATGTTGTCTAGGGTTGAGCGGTGGTCCAACTAAATTATGTAGCGAATGGCTGCAACCACATGGGAAGTTGCATGGAAAGTTGATGGACTCCCATCAAGGACCCATTGATGTCAACGCCATATCATTTGCACTGCCATACTGTTATCCTCATACACTTGGCATAACTCTCGATGAATATTGATATCCAATTCATTTCGTGCTGTCATTTCCCACTTTACAACTGGAGTGAGACAGATGGGTAGCTGCATGTTAACAGGCCGGAAGCTCGCAAATTAACTTAGAACTAACCGGCTTGCCTTGAGTAAAATTCAGAATAGCCCTACATCTGTACGAAGGTTCCCCTGCTGCAGGCGTGTCCTGCTCAGAGCGACAAAATAAGGAAACTTACTTTTTGGACCCTACTTGTAGTAGACAATGTACAAAAATATGATATTGGTCCCTTGCACATTGTGTGGTGGTGGTGAGGCCCTCTTCAAGGATTGCTAATGGAGAAATCCATAACTAGTTGTTTATTAGCTCTTTCCAACTGATAGATTACTCCTAGCTGATGGATTGCTCCTTCACTTTTTAGATCACATATAGTTAACATCCACTTCTCAACCTCACACATCAGAACGCTTAAGAAGTATAGGTTGAGTAATCCTTATCCTGAAATTTTAAGTACTCCACAATCGTCTACATAGACAGCTGAGAAAGTGACTCTGTTTCAGTGTACACAAACTTTGTTTCATGCACAAAAAAGTGAAGACCTGGCTGTTTGAGCAGGCGTTCGAATAATTAGTGCAATGATTGGTTAATGAACACTGGAATGGAACAATGGATGACGAATCTGGAACATGTTTTTGATGATGAGACGACAGTGAATGGATATTGTAGTAACTGTTTATTAATTGTGTAATGTGTTAGGTTGTTAACTGTTTTTATACTGTAGCACTGAATTTTTGGTGTTTGTATTTGTTGTGAACCGCTGTGAGTCGCCTTCGGGCTGAGAACAGCGGTATATAAGTAAGGTAAATAAATAAATAAATAAAATTATTAAATATTTTAATGAAATTACCTTTCAGTAAAATTATAGAATCATAGAGTTGGAAGACACCTCATGGGTCATCCAGTCCAACCCCCTGCCAAGAAGCAGGAACATTGCATTCAAAGCACCCCTGACAGATGGCCATCCAGCCTATGCTTAAACATATCCAGAGAAGGAGCCTCCACCACATTCTGGGGCAGAGAGTTCCACTGCTGAACACTTCTCACAGTCAGAACATTCTTCCTAATGTTTAGATGGAATCTCCTTTCCTGTAGTTTGAAGCCATTGCACTGCTTCCTAGTCTCCAGGGCAGCAGAAAACAAGCCTGCTCCCTCCTCCCTATGATTTCCTCTAGATGTATAAGGTTTATATAAGACGTAAATGAATATTGTGTTTACACTTGGGTTCCATCTCCAATATATCTCACTATATATACACACACACACAAATACACAAGTATCAATTGAGCATCCCTTACCTGATCAGCAAGGGAATAGAAGTGTTCTATATTTCATTTTTTTCAGATTGTGGAATACTTGCATGTATAAAATTAAATATCTTGGATGTGGGACCCAAATAGAGTGTCCATAATAAACAACAATACAATATGACTCCATATCTGTAAAGAATGTGTTCCAAGTTCCCCTATGAATACTTGAAATTGTAGATAATAGCAAAATCCATATTTTGCCTATACCTGGGCTGGAAGCTTACCATAGAATTGCTTTGGTAGATCTCAAGCAGTGGTTCTCAACTTGTGGGTCCCCAGGTGTTTTGATGTACAACTCCCCGAAATCTCAGCCAGTTTACCAGCTGTTAGAATTTCTAGGAGTTGAAGGCCAAAACATCTGGGGACCCACAGGTTGAGAATCACTGATCTAGAGAGACCCACAAATACTTCTAGAGGATTATTTTTTGGAGCATGAGAAAATGTGAATACTGAATCAATGGATACAAGTGTTATATGTAGTGTATGCTGCTGCTATTTATTTACATCCCACCCTTTCCCCAGTGTGGAACTCAAGGCAATCGACAAAAGTTAAAACCGATAATGGCTAAAAAATAACATTGTACAAAAATTAAAAATAATTGAACTATCAATAAAATTTAAACGAATTAAAAGCATAACAATTGAAAAGGAGAGCAATAAATATAAACCAGACAGAACATGAAAAGCCCTATCCATCAGAGCAGTCAGCTCTTGAAGGTCTGCCAGAAAAGAAAGGTCTTCACCTACTTATGAAAGAATAGCAAGGAGAGAGTCAGATCAATCTTGCTGGGAAGGCAGTCCAAGAGCTTAGGAGCAGCCACTGAGAAGGCCTTCTCCCTTGTTTCCACCAGATGTTCCTCTGAGAGAGATGGGACACATAGGAAGGGCCTCTACAGAAGATCTCAAGATACTTTTAGGCTCATGATCGCTCTATAGCCCGCGTTCATCGTGTTCTAAAATCCGTCAATCCGTTTAGCATTGCCATAGTCCTTTCCAACTCTAGTCATCATTACCTTGTTACCCTGCCAGACTACCCAAATGCCTGGTCCCATATCCATGTCTTCAGCTTTCTACTGAAGGAGAGGAGGGATGTTGACAGCCTAATTTCCCCGGGGAGTGAATTCCACAGGCGAGGGGCCACCACTGAGAAGGCCCTGTCTCTCGTCCCCACCAGCCTCACTTGTGATAAAGGTGGGGCCGAGAGCAGGGCCTCCCCAGAAGATCTTAAACTCCGTGGTGGGACATAGAGGGAGATACGTTCGGACAAGTACACTGGGCCGGTGCCGTAGAGGGTTTTAAAGGTCAAAACCAGCACTTTGAATTGTGCTCGGAACTGGATCGGCAGCCAATGGAGCTGATGTAGTTACCCTACCACACCTGATTCTTTCGTTTTGAAAATACTGCACTTTGACTCATTATACCACAGAAGGCTGGCTTCTCCCAATCCATTTGAATGCCTCCTTATTTTTTCTAATATTGTGGAGTGGCATAGCCTGGAAATCTCAAACTACTGTTCTCATGAGATTTTCGCTGATACAATGAATAGTGATTTTACGATCACATGTAAAAACAGTACCTCAGAACTGTACTAAAGAAAAAAAAAACACAATTAGAATTCTGTGTAAAGTTACTCCATTTCTGCGATGTTTTGCAGACGGATTCAAATGGATTACCGACAGACTGGGACAAGAATCATGTACTGGACTTGTTTGGAATTGTATTCAAAGAATCTCACATTGGGAGTATATCCCAATGTGATAAGGTTCCAAGTGGCAGTTTTCTAAACAGTTGCATAGATTGCAAGTGAGGAGATTGCTTTATAAACTTGAGTCCTTACCTCAGAATGTAAGAAGAGACTTCTTTGAGTGTACAGAAATTGGAAAAGTTGCTATGTTGGATGACAGCTTCTCGGTTCTCCACCTATTTCTTCCCTCTCAGAGCTTAGAAGCGTGACTTTTTGGATAAGGTGATAAACAATCAGCTGACTTTAGGTTGGAATATTCTTGCTTTACAGACTTTGGGTGTATGTGTGTGGAACTTCTAGCTTAATAAAGGGAACATCACCAGTGTGTATCCTGAATTTTGAAAACTGGAATAATGAATGAGATCAACCACTGGGGGGAGACAGTTTCGTATATATAAATATTCCAAAAACCTATAATGTGTCTGAATGGGGTATCTTAATTTTTTTCTTGTAAGAACCAAAGAGCTGCCAAGCCCCATGTATATAGTGTCTGTGTATAGATATGTGCCTTCAAGTTGCCTATTAATATATGACAAACCTTGAACTTCCTAGGATTTCCTTTAGGAAGGATTTCTCAGAGGTTTGCCATTACTCTTAAATATAGTTTAGAGCCCAAGGTATTCTTTGGTGATATTCCATCCAAGTAATATCCAGAACTGAGCCTGGGTAGCTTACAAGATCACACAGAATCTGATGCCCTTGACATATTTAGGCCCTTCTGATATATGCTAGTTATCTGGAAAGTAAGGTTACTAGATTTTTAAAAAAATACAAAAAATGAATATATTTTAATAAAACTTACATGGATTGTAGCATAGGTGTTACATTATTTTCCCACATAATCACCATTCAGTTCAATAATTTTGTCATCTGTGGGATGAGTTTTTGTTGCTTGTGTCATAGAAGTTTTCCTCTGCCTTTTTTAGCCAGTTCGTTACTTTGATTTTCACCTTGTCATTGTCGTAAAAGCATTTTCCACCAAGGTGTTCTTTCAATTTAGTGAACAGATGATAATCACTGGGTGTGAGATCATGGCTGTGAGAGGGGTGCCTTAAAACATCCCAACCAAATGAAGTCAACAACTCTTGTGTTGTCATGATACTACTGCCGTCAGCATCCCACAGTGTTTGTTTTGGATGGTTCTGTGAAATTTCTTCATGGTCTCACAATATATTCCGTACCCATTTTGTCACATACTGCCTTGACATTACGTCCTCTCCATAAACTGAAATGATTTTGCGATTAATTAGAGTGGGGTTCATACCCCAGCATTTAGGTAGCATATTACAGTGGGAACTTCACACTTGGAGGGAAATGGAATGAGGATGCTCATCTCTAACCTTCACCACAACGCTAGTTGATGAGCTACTGACGACTGGCACTGCTCGTTCGCTTCCACTGCTTCCTGCTACACGGCAGTCATACCAACTTCCCCCGTGAAAATTCCCTGCGAGGGCTATGTGCCTTGTAACCTTACTTTTTGAATAACCTTCGTATATACCAGCTAGAATTATTTATTTATTTCTATCCTGCCTTTCTCATGATCTCGGGCGCAAGGTTGAAATGAGATAGACCTCAAAATCTTATTATAAACACCTTAGAACACAACTGAGCAAGCTTAGTATATTAAAACTTTGCTAATGTTTAAAAAGTATAAAGTACTAAAATACTTTGATTGTTGGTTTATGACTCTGGAGACAAGGGTTGAAATATCTGCTACACCATAGAAATCCATTGGGTGATCTCAGCAAATCATATACTTTTAGCCTCAGAGGAAGGCAAAGTAAACCACTTCTGAACAGATCTTGCCAAGAAAACCCAATGATAGAGTTACCATAAGTCAGAAATGACTTGAAAGCACGTGACAAGATAAACATAAACCTCACAACACCCTCACCCCAATAAAAAGACTGTTCTATACAAAGAAGTATTCCTCAAATGACTGTTTAAATGAATGAAGATATCTTCCCGTCTGGTAATATCCATGGTTTCAGATAACTTCAGTCTGGCTGGGAATGTATCTTCCAGAAATACAAGGGATACATTGCACTTGCATCTCTTATATCATCTCTTTAAAGCAGCTCTTTGAATTGCCAATTTCAGCACTCATCTACCAGCCAGAAAAATGTATTAGTCTCCCAGAGACGGTATAGCCATTCTCCTCCCATTGCCTCCTGAAGAATTATTAACCAGTGTTAGAACTCTCAACGAAAGATTCCTCCCAATCACTTCCAAGCCATTGAATGCTAATCAAGGTGATCAGCTGAAACATTCACAGCTAGCCCCAGCAGACAAAAGTCCTTTGTCTCACCCTGGTCATTCCACAGATATATAAACCCATTTTTCCTACTTCCAACAGACCTCATTACCTCTGAGGATGCTTGCCATAGATGCAGGCGAAACGTCAGGAGAGAAATTGCCTCCAGAATATGGCCATATAGCCCGGAAAAACCTACAACAACCCAGTGATTCCAGCCATGAAAGCCTTCGACAATACAGTGTTAGAACTGTATGGAACATACCAGTTTTTTTGGCAGACTGTAATGCTATAAAACAGACATGACATAACTCTGATTTTCAGTAGGTTGGGCCCAAGGATATTGGAATTATCTGGGAGTAATTAAATAACAAGAAATGCATATACTATTAACCCCTTTGGCTAAGTCTACTTAGTACCTTACAGTTCTTTTGCAGATTCTTTTTTTGTCTTGATGCATGAGGATTTATGTCTTTTTCTTTCTGCCTAGGGGACTTTCTCAAAGCCAGGTGGGCGAGTGATCTTGGCCACAGAAAATGACTACTGTAAACTGTGTGATGCCTCCTTCAGTTCACCTGCTGTGGCCCAGGCTCATTACCAGGGAAAGAATCATGCCAAGAGGCTGCGCCTGGCTGAAGCACAGAACAACTCGTTCTCGTAGGTATTGCTGAACTTTCTCGAGTGCGGTCAATTGTGATGATACCTGCAGCTTCTGCTATCCCCACCCCAAGTGAGACATATCTCCCGTCCTCCCCTTCCCAATTCTTTTTGTTTAATCTCCTTACTATCAGGGAGATATCAGAAGTAGTGGGCAAAAGAAGGGTTCGGAAAGAAGGGAATGAATACAAGATGATGCAGAACAGAAGAAACATCTATGCTGTCCAGAATAACACAGGTACTTCACATGCTTGCTTCCTATTATTTGCAGTATTTTCTCCGGAGCTCTAAAAACAGAGCTTGTTTTGCGTATCAGTGGGCCTGGCCATACTTATAGTGATTTTATAAAGAAAAGTGTTTACTCATGCTTCTGATTTTAAATCAGGATATCTGACTACGATAGCTCCCAGGTCGACCCTTGCTGGTCCATTTTCATATCAGTGGACTGCCCTTGGCCACAGACAATTGCAGTGACAGCTGTAGTTGGCTGGGAAGGTGCAAGTTGAATTTTCCACGTTGCTCTGAAATAATGCTGAACTAGGTGCAGGTCATAGGATAATGGAAAATCATAAAATGGGAGCTTTGTAGACCACCTTCTCAAATTGGAGACCCCAGTTGGGGTCCTGTATTTGTTTTGTAATTACCGTATATACTCAAGTATAAGCCGGGCCAAATATAAGCTGAGGCATCTAATTTTACCACAAAAAACTTATTTACTTGAGTATAAGCCAAGGGTGGGAATGCAGTAGCTAATGGTAAATTTCAAAACAAGAATAGATACCAATAAAATTACATTAATTGTGACATCAGTAGGTTAAATGTTTTTGAATGTTTACACAAACTGTAATTTAAGATTTGACTCTAATTAAACCATTATTCTAACCTTCTTCAATGTAAATGTGCTTACGTATCCTTCCAATAATAATAAAGAGAGAAAAATAATAAATGTAACAACAACAATAATAGAGTAAAATAATGGAAATGTAACAACAACAGTAACAATAGAGTAAAATAATAAATGTAACAACAACAACAACAATAATAATAGAGTAAAATAATGGAAATGTAATGACAACAGTAACAATAGAGTAAAATAATAAATGTAATAACAACAACAATAAAGTTAAATAATAAATGTAATCATAACAGTAGTAATAAATAGAGTAAAATAATAAATGTAATAATAATAATAAAGAGTAAAATACTACATGTAATAATAATAATAATAAATAGAGTAAAATTGTTGGATTGTGTGATTTTAATGTTTATATTGATATGTTTTTAATTCCATGTTTTAATGTTAAATGATGTAGTGTTTTATTATTTAATTGATAATTGTATGTTATTATCATTATGTTAGGTTTCTGTAAGTGAAGAATTAAATTTTGCCATACTTATGTTGGAAACCACTTTGAGTCCCTCGCTGTTGGGAGAAAAGCAATATACAACTGAAGTAAATAAATGAATAAATAAATAAATGTAATAATAATAAATAGAGTAAAATAATACATGTAATAAACATAATAATAATAAAAGAGCATTAACAACAAGTTGAAAAAATGTCTTATACTCGAGTATATATGGTAGTTTTGCTGGTTTAACTGATGTTTTCAGCCTGAAGTTATGAAGCTTAAGGAAATCAGGAAGGCTTTTTCCCCTGTAGAAAGAAAGATTGATAGCACCACAGATTTCTTTTTGGGGTCTTAATTTTTGTTGCTGTTATTGACCCCTTTTGATCTGCCTGCCCTCATTCACTCAGTATCCAAAGTGACTTGGCCTATCAGTTAGCCTTGGTTTCTCACCTATCTTTTTTTTTTTTTGCCATTTGCCCTTCAAGCTTCAAGCAGGGGCAATTTTCTGCTTTGTTTCCTTGGCTCCAGTCCAGGTCATTTGGCTCCTGCTGAACTGCTCTGGAATCCTCTTTGTGTGACTGCCACTTAGAATGGCAGAACAGGTTAGCCACCCTCCTGTGCCATCTGTTGTGGGAATCCTGATTTTCCTTTTCCCTGGCATTTAAGATTCTGAGTATTAAGCAATCCAGTGGACAGACAAGCCTGCTGGCTTGGTTTTGAACGGGTCAAGACGTGCTTTGGTTTGCTCAAACAGTAACATTAAATCACTTCAGAAAACTTTTCTCCTTTTTGTGACTTTTCCCCAAGTAGAAACTATGAATTATGTAGCAAGGGGCTAAAACTGTGCCTTTCTGCCTGCTGGCTGTGTTTGATGTTCACTGATACATTTAGAGCTTACATATATGTCCATTTCTCATTGATTGGACTGCATTATCCATTTCTTATACACACCTCTGGAATTGGCTTGGATATGTTGGAGCCTACCTTATATACTCGAGTATAAGCCAAATTTTCAGCCCTTTTTAAGATTGAAAAAGCCCCCTTCGGCTTATACTCGAGTCAAGGTTATTTATTACTTTACTCTGTTGTTGTTATTATTATTACATTTATTATTTTAATAAACATATTATTGTTATTATTACATTTATTATTTTACCCTATTATTATTACATTTATTGCTTTACTCTATTTTTGTTATTACATTTATTATTTTACTCTATTATTATTGTTATTATTTCATTTATATTATTTTACTCTTTTTAAAAATATTATTACATGCATTATTTTACTCTATTATTATATTTATTATTTTACTTTATTATTATTGCGATTATATTTATTATTTTACTCTTTATTTATTTATTTATTTAAAACTTTTATATCCCGATCTTCTCTACCTCCGCAGAGGGACTCAGACCGGCTGACAGCAAAGATTCAATGCTAACACTAAAAATCTAAAACATAATGCATCAACATTAAATTAACAAATACATATAGGATAAATTACATAAAAGCCATTCAGCAAGATAAAATCGTGTCCAACTCAGTCCATATATTCAGTCCATATATTGTGGTCAGTAACTTTGGTCGATTGCTGGTCTCAGGCATCATTCCGCAAAAGCTTTGTTCCACAACCAGGTTTTCACTAGCTTCCTAAAGGTCAGGAGGGAGGGGGCAGATCTAATTTCATTTGGGAGGGAATTTCATAGCCGAGGGGCCACCACAGAAAGGGCCCTGTCTCTTGTTCCCACCAGACGCACCTGCGAAGGTGGCGGGACCGAGAGCAGGGCCTCTCCAGACGATCTTAACACTCTTGATGGTTCATAGGGGAGAATACATTCGGACAGGTAAACTTTTAGTATTATTCCATTTATTATTTTACTCTATTATTATTGGAAGGATACATAAGCACATTTACATTGAAGAAGGTTAAAATAATGGTTTAATCAGAGTTGGACAGTCTTATCTTAAATTACATTTTATGTAAATATTCAAAAACATTTAACTTATTGATGCCTCAATTAATGTCATTTTATTGATAAATATTTTTACTTTGAAATTTGCCAGTAGCGCCCTCGACTTATACTCAAGTCAGTATGTTTTCCCACTTTTTTGTGGTAAAATTAGGTGCCTTGGCTTATATTTGGGCCGGCTTATACTCGAGTATATATGGTATGTTACCTTGGATCCCAAAAAGGAACAATACTAATTTCAATCAGTAGATAAAATGAATAAATAAATGTGCAGATGTGTTATGTACATATGAGATATCTGGAGAATCTAGTCTGATCTTGGGAAGAAGGTTCTATAAACAGCTGTCTCTTTCTATTTGCCTGAAACTCAATTGTTAATTTTTAGTGGCTGTGTCTGCCTTTATTATAAGCAATGAACTTACCTCATGAATTATTTGGATTAAATGATTGAGGTGTATTTCACTCCAAAGGTAAATGATTTTAGTTGCCCTAGCTCAGTCCTAAGGATCTTGGGATTTGCAGTTTTGTAAGGTATGTAGAACGTACTAAGGTAACCCAAGGAATCAAGGATTAATACAGATAGATTTTGGGGGTAATTTTGAGGGAGGAAATGAGAGTTCTTTAGAAAGAGATTTCGAAATAGCTCACCAAACAACCAAAACCAGGATTCTTTAGGTTGGAGCTTAGGGGTATGTAAGTGCGATGCGGACACATTTTGGCAGTCACTTAATACTCACTTTAATCAGAATTCATTATGATATAGCACCACCTTCATAGATAAAAATGGAAAGTGGACTAATTAATGAAGAAGAAGGCTGTGAATGAATTACAAATCACATTGGGCATGTGTTACCTGTGGAATGTGAGCTGCGGAATAGCAGACATCAACCTGCATCAGCAAGTAGGACTTGCCATTCTTTCTTCAACATGGGACCAAGGAGGTGTCCAGTCCCCCTCATTGCTGTCTTCATGTGGAAAGTGAGGTATCGGAAGAGATGAAAGTCCTTGCTCCTGTGCTGAAGAGTGCATTGCATGTCATTCCTGAAGGTGTTGTTGGCACTAATAGGATCTTTCTGACCATGGTGGGAACGGGATGCTAGATAGGCCATTGGCATAGCAAGGTTCCTTTAGAATCATTAAGTTGGAAGATATCTTGTGGACCATCCAGTGCAATCCCCTGCCAAGAAGAAGGAAAATTGCATTCAAGGCACCCCTGACAGATAACCTTCCAGCCTCTGTTTAAAAGCCTCCAAAGAAGGAGCCTCCACCATACTCTGGAGCAGAGAGTTCCACTGCTGAACAGCTCTTACAGTTAGGAAATCCTTCCTAATGTTCAGGTGAAATCTCCTTTCATTTCCTATAGTTTATTTATTTATTTAGAAGTTTTATATACCAGTCTTCTCGACCTCCGGAGAGGGACTCAGGCCAGTTTACAGCATGTACTCAAATACAGTAATATAAACAGTACAATACATCATCATTAAACATTAAAACCGAAACAATAAAAACATCATCACATTACAAAAGCCAAGTCGTCAAATACAGTTACAATTCATCACCATCCTTCCATGTGCACAAAGGTTATTGACTCAATCATCAAATGCCTTATTCCAAAGCCAGGTTTTTAGTAGCTTTCTAAATGACAGGAGGGAAAGGGCAGATCTAATCTCTAGTGGAAGGGAGTTCCAGAGCCGAGGATCCACCACCGAGAAGGCCCTGTCCCTCGTCCCCACCAGATGCAATTGCAAGGGTGGTGGGACCGAGAGCAGGGCCCCTCCGGAAGATCTTAATAACCTTGATGGTTCATAGGGGAGAATCCGTTTGGACAGGTAGACTGGGCCGGAGTCGTTTAGGGCTTTATAGGTCAAAACCAGCACTTTGAATTGTGCTCGGAAGCTAATCGGCAGCCAGTG